CAGTAAATAAAGAAGTAAAGCAAACAATTATTTCTTCTAGTTATGACCTTTGTACTCAGTTGCTGTTTGACATAGGTGGTTTAGCCTTTTAAAATTTCGCACATGGAGGATATAAAACAAAATAATTTTTTAGGTTTTATATATACAGTTGAATAACCAAAGAATCATAAATTACTATATCGATACCATGATATTCAACTATAATTTATCAAGCTAAGTAACTAAGCTGCATTTGGGATTAAAAAAATATGAAATTTCTAGCAGACGAAAAACACAACTACCTCCTTGAAATCTTGGTTCTAAAGAATGAAATGGCGTCCTAACACTTTGATACCAAACTTATTGACATAAATTCATGAAATATTAGTTCAATAAAATTTTGAATGTGAGTCAACAAACATGATGGTATGGCCTTTCACCTGTGACCCGCCTGGAAAGAGTTAATGTATTTAACTGTAAACATAGCTCAAAAATGTTTTATGTAAAAAAAAAACACTTACAATTCTAGGATTTAACATTACCAAAAAATGAAACAAAGTATTAAAAATCTTCCTATATGCTAAAACATACCTCATCTGCAGAACTGTACTCTACAATCTCTGTACATAAGTTACTACATTTGATGGTTCCAAGGTTCTGCTGGTTTGACTTTCTGTTACAGGCATCTTTGTAGAGCATGTATGGTGTCCCAGTTTCAACCTGAGCTTCTAAAATTGCATACCACAGTGTCTGGGCTTTCACTTGTCGCTTGTACCTTTCTTCCTTCTCATATCTTATAAATGTTCAATATCAGTTTTATGTATATACAAGAGATGCACTTAATACAAGTAGTTCCAGAAACAAATTATATAAAGAAACAGTCTTCACTCTCCAGTTTTTGTAATAGAAACTTAACTACTATTGCTTAAATACATCACAAATAAAAAAGTGCTGGTGAAATAGAGAAAAATAAATTATACTTCTAAAATTTATAAAGCAATGAAAGTTTAAACTACATCTATTCAAGTTGTTAGTGCCATTGGATTTATTATACCTTTGAATTTAATTTGTAGACTTTAGAAGTATCTTTTATTTTTCAAACACTGTTTTTATGATGTACTAGACTAACTGACCAAACACTCTTATTAAAGAACTGGAGCACAAAAATATTATTTTCTTACATTAGACAGCAAAAATACAATTGTTAATCAATGTTAGTCTTCAAATACAAAGAGCAATAAGTTAAAATGTCTACAATATTTTATCAGGCACATGAAGTAGTTTCTGTTATAATTTTTTTATCTTCACAGACTATGAATTTGTACAAACAACTTAAACGTCTAAGCTTTTTCTCTTTTACATTACTTTAATGAATTTTACATTTTGAGTATGGTTGTGTTATTGTCTAATGCAGATAAATGGCAATGTGCTGGTTTCAATAGTTCAATAGAAATAATAACTCGCTTTTCGTGGATGCAAGTAATTTATGATAAATCAATACAGGAGACAAAATAGTTTGGTGGATTTGATCAGCAGACACTGCTAATCAATATTGAATTTGATTAGCAATTAACAAGTATTGCTTAGCATCTTTTTAACATTCATCGTTTTAACACATTATGGCAAATAAATCCAGTATGTAACGACATCCACTAATGATTGAGTGATAAATGGTATGTTTTTATTCTAATAACACTTTTATTTACTTCAAACCCTAATATTTAATTGTACCATACATAGCATTTCATGAAGAAAATAGTTCCTAGTATATAAAGTAAAACTTCAAAACTGCAAGAAATGCCAAACACCTCAGTTGTCACAAAATAAGGCAAAAGTAAATTAACCAAAGAAAGAAGTGACTTGAACACGTTGCAACTGAACAAGGTTGCCACAAATCATTTTTCAAATTAATGTAGTTTATTTCTTATTTTTGGTGAGACTTCATCATTCTCTTCATGATGTGGTCTCTTTGGCTTTTTGAAGAAGAGAATTCTAAGCGACTTTTCAGCAGTAATTATCCCTCTCGCCATGGCATCCTTTATTGTACATGTTACAAGGTTACTTTTTGTTTATTTTATAACACAATATTAAAAAATGATACTGAGGAGGTTCTAGAGATTACGTAAATTACATTTGAGATGAAGTATTTCTAAATTTAATCCTAACATGAAAATAATTTTACACCCAGACTGGTAAAAAGACTCAATATATTCACAGACAAAGCTTTAGTAACAATACTTCCCTAAAAACTGATTTGGGGAACAAAAAACTTGTAATGTCTGCCAAATTTTGTGAAGATATACACACAGCATTAAAAGTTATAGTATTAAAACTATATATAAGTAAAGATGGTCAATGGTTGGCCTTTAGGAATGAGCCTCTAGTGAGAGAGTTCGTAACCAGCTCAATGCTAAATGTGCAGTGTACTGTACAAATGTAATCTAGTCTAATTGGCTAGGCTGCAGGCACCAACTGGGCACATTCCAAAAGTCACGAACTAGTACTATAAAGCGTATGTGATATGTGCATGACAAAATATGGAAATACTGTATGTGCCATTTGGCAAGAATTTCTGAGAAATAAACATCAGCTTTGGTATATCAAACTGAAATGGCACTTTTACAGTGTTGTTGGAGGTCTCAAAGACAAGAGAAAGGAATGATTTTTATATTATGCTAAGCAAAGAGAAAATTTATTCATAACTGGGGTTGTTTTGATCTGCAAATTGAGATGCAAACTAGGATATTTTGTCCCCTGCAATAGAACATTTCAAATACTCTTATAAATTGTTTATTTTCAAAAACAGAAAAAGTAGCTTAACAGCCAATCAGTACATTCCTCACTTAGTTGTTAGCATTTTTGAATATGTCATACCTCTAATTTAATTTTCAATATTTTAGTGGTATTATATAGAACTGAATGATGAACACAATTATCCACAAGTATTGATTGGTATAATAAACTAATCAAATTTACTGTTTCTGATTGTTATCATTTTCAATTATTACAGCTATCCAAGTAAATGAATATTACAATTATGATTTATTATTATTTTTGATTAATTCAAGGTTGTTCAGCTTAATCAACTAACATCATAACTCATGAAAATAACCAACTACCCAAGTCTTATACAAGAATAATCGATTAGTTAAGTAATCAATTAATGAGCTTGTCAAATAATCAATTAGCAAATTCCAATAATCACCCATCTAGTTTTAAAAGATATATTTGTAGCTGACATGTCTTGGAGAAAAAAAGAGGAAAGAAATACAGCATGCAAATATCATTACAACTTGCATTTTGTAATATGTGATCAAATTAAGGCCTCAAATAATTCCTTTAGGATTTTAGTTTAATTTTACTTTAATTGCCAAAACAATAAATTTTATTTTATTTTTTATTATGATTATACAATGCATTTCTTTAAAGGTATGTCAGCCACAATTGCACCTAACTTTTTAAGGGCCTTACCATTGCATCTTCAATAATCATAACATTTACTAACTTGTACCATAGTTGAAATTTGTAATACAAGTTGTATATCGGGTTTTTGTCGGCAAATGACAATTTGTTGTAACCTTCTGAATACCTTTCATGGAAACAATAACAATCTGAGTTTTCACAATACTGGTAAATTAATTTTTCAAAGTCAACATATAATAACAAGAAAAAAAATCTTCATGTTTTGAGTACATAATGTTTTATCTAAAAATCTTTTTTGTGTGACAAGCCCAAGAATAGTAACCTGTTATAGGCACTAGTATGAATGGGCGAGTGATTTAAACAAGTTAACATATAGCCCCAATTTTTTGGGAAGCATTAGGTCTGAGGTGTTATAAAATGAAATAAAAGAAAATTATATATTTCCATGCTATAATATTTCCAATGAACATAACTCTTTGAAACTCAAGTACCTACTGATTATAACTACAAACTTTTGTAGTAAGTATGAGCCAACATCACAATCAAACTAAGATGAAACTGTTGAAGTTGAGGATATCAAAGATAAGAGAAAGGAGAATGAATCAATTTGGGTTTCTGTTAGTGGACATAAAAGGGAAAAGGCTTTTAGTGGGAAGCTGTTAGAGATCACCATATGATACTGATGAAATTAATGAGAAACTTTACAGTGAGATTAACATTTTAGCTGTTAATGAGGTCATAATTATGAGCGATTTAAATTCCAGGCATATAGTTTTGGAAATGTTAGGGTCAAACCATGAGAAAGAAAGGTTTTTGGAAACTGTTCTAGAAGATTTTCTTCACAATTCGTCAAGGAACCTACTAGAAACAATGCTATTTTATATTTATTGTTAACTTCTAATGTAGAAATGGTTAACAGGGTGGAGATTCTGGAACATCTGGGTGCAAGTGATCATTGCTTTATTAGGTTCGATGTCTTGTTGCATATGGAGATCAGAAATAATGATATTTTGGTTATAAATTTCAAATTTTGAAGGGATGCAACAAGACTTATTTTTGTGAACTGGGCAGCTAAGTTATTTGTAGACACTAATAAAACGTGAAAGATTTCTAAAGATTCAAGATAAACATATTCCTTATCGAAAGGGTGGCTACAAGTAAAAAACTATGTTGGCTAACAAAGAGTATAAGAGATAAAATTAAAGAAAAGCATCACAAATTTAAGAAATTTAAATTGCTGGTATAACAGGAGATTTAGAAGATCACAAAAGTTGGCAAAACAGGAAATTAGGACATCAAAAAAGATGCATGAGAAAAGGTTGGCCGAAAATGTAAAAATTAATAGTAAGGATTTATTTAAATATATTAAGGGTAAACAAAATATTAGGATGGGGTAGAACCTTTGAGGGGGTGATAAAGGAGGCCCATATCTGGTGGTTATGAGAGAGCTGGGTTATTAAATTCTGCTTTTTCTTCAGTTTTTACTAATGAAGATTTGAGCAATATTCCTCATTCTGAACAGTTGATAGATGGTAATAAAACCAAACAAGATTATCACATTAATACTGAGCTTGTTAAGAAAAAATTGGGAAGTTTAAAGAATGATAAGGCTCCTGAGCCAGATGATATTTCCCTAAGGGTTTTGAAGGAGGATAAAGATTGGATATGTGAGCCACTTGCTACTATTTTTTTTGCAAGACTTTGAATAGTGAGCAGGTACCAGAGGGTTAGATGTTGGCTAATGTTACTCCTCTTTTCAAGTGAAGTGATAAAATCTATCCCAGTAATCACAGGCCTATTAGTCTTACATCAGTTGTGAGAAAAGTTTTGGAAAGTCTGATAAAAAATACTTTGCAAAGTCATTTAACAAAATTTAGAATTTTATTGGATAGTCAACATGGTTTCACTAAGGGAAAATCTTGCCCTACAAAGCTTTTGACAATCTTTGAAAAGGTTACTGCTTATGTATATGAGGGTAAAGGTGTAGATTTGGTGTATCTGTGGGGGATAAGTTAGTTAAAAAAGGGTGACTGGATGGAAGAAAGCAAAAGATTGTTAAAAATATATTTTAGTCAAACTGAATTAATGTCATAGGAGGGGTACCTCAGGGTTCAGTCTCAGGACCTTTACTCTTTTTTATTTAGATCAATGACATAGATGAAGGAATGGTTGATAAATGACTTAAATTTGCTGATGATATTAAGGTCTTGGGTGCTGCTAGCTGTGAGGAGGATGCTGCTACTTTACAAAAGGATTTAGATCATTTAATGAGTTTGGCAAATAAATGGTAGATCAGTTTTAATTATAATAAATGTAGGTTATCATAATTTAAATGGGAATAACCTTAACAGTGTCATGAAAGAAAGGGATCTTGGTGTAACAGTTGATCAATCTCTAAAGCCATCCAAGCATGTGCTGTTGCTAGTGGTAGGGCAAATAGGATTTAGGTTGTATCTACAGAAATATTGAATACAAGTCTAAAGACGTTATAATTTCATTGCATAGGTCACTGGTTAGGCCACATTTGAATAGCATTCAGTCTTACCTTAGGAAAGACACTGAACTGTTTAAAATTGTTCAGAGAATGGTGCCTGAGATGGAGGGATTGTCATATGAGGAGAGGACAAGATCTCCAATATAGTTTTTCCTTGAAAAAATGAAGAGTTAGAGGGGAGCTGATTGACATATTCAAGATTGTTAAGAGAAATGACAGTGTTGATACATCATGTTTTTCATACTTAATAGTGAGAATGGTAGGACTAGGGGGCACAAATATAAATTTGGGCAGGGTAGGAGTCATTTTCTGCTAAAACAGTTTTATTTTTTTTCTAAGAGGGTGGTTGGCCTTTGGAATAGGTTGCCTTCAGATGAGAGTTTAATTTTCTCACTAGAGGCTCGATTGAATCAGCAAAGTTCATTAGCCCAAATTGACCTTTATAGTATTAATACTATAACCTCTAATATGTCTGCGCATCTTCACAAAATTTTGCAAGCTTTCAGTAAGCATCAAGTCTTTTCTAAACAAAAAGTCAGAATTTTTACTTGATTGTTGACTGCTCCAAGTGCAAAGTGATTTTCAGGTGAAAATTAAAAACACTTTTCTTCATCTGAAAATTGTCAATTTTCATTTGCATAATCTCTAAAACCTCATAAATTAATTTCAAATGGTTTCTTCAGTAATACTTTATATTTTATCTGCTATTTTTTCTACCTTAACTCTACACAAGGTTGGTCAATTTGATTGACATCATAAACACCATAAAAAAAAGAAAAGAACTAAACCTAAACTACCCCCTTTTCTTTCTAGAATGACTTCAAATTGTAATATAAAACTACACCCATTTATCCTAAATAGCTTTAAACTCATAATGGTATGTATGTGTTTCAACTTAAATTTTATTTTCTTTTATTGCCCTTTGAACCGTGTCACATGTTGCAAATAACTTCGCAAATGTGTAGCTCATGTTACCCTATTGAATTATGTAAGGCATGGGCTACTTACAAGCGTCCCTTGTGAAGATTTATAATTTTTCTTTATCTTACCTAATCCAACCTTGTCTAATATAACAAATTTTAGTTACTTTTATAATACTACTCATACATGAAAAACAAGAATTATAGTACTTACCTGGATCTTATTTTCTTGCCATCGACTATAAATGAAATTAACTCTTGCTTTTTTTATACTAATGGTACTACACTAATTTTTTTTTTATGTAATTAAATACTGCACCTAAGAATACAAAATAATAACACATAAAATGCAGACAATATCCATTAACTATCATATTTTTTTCTGGCTTTCTAACTATGAGATAAGAGCTGTTAAAAATTCAGCCAAGCTCGTCATTGTGTTTCCTGTGGGAATAAAGTTTGAACTGAAAGCAAAATAGACAACTCTCTGTACAGAAAACATTGTAATGTAATACATCATTTAATACATTAAAACTTTTGCTTTCCATTGGTTATAAATAATTTAGTATTAAGTTCAGCGAGCTACTGGCAATTTGTGAAAGAGGATGTGACAGATGGGCATGTCAAAGGGGGTCTGATCTTTTATTTTATGGTTCTGTAACTAAATAAAATTGAAGGCTATAAAAATTTTCCTGCATGATAACAATATTATAATGAGTAATTTACATTAAATTCCATACTTCTCAGAGGGGTGGTAAATAAACTAAAGATGGATACCTGTGGAGTAAATGTTAATTCTCGTACTAGGGTGAAATACAAGAATTACTTCTAAACATAGAGGTGTCCTGAAAATCATAGAAATACTGCCTAGATGAATCTAAAGAGTGACTTAAAACCCCACTCATGAAGGTGTGCAACTCTTACTTTCTGAGAAGTAAACTGTTTGTAAAGCTAAAACATTTTAAGTGTACTTGGGTTAAAATTTTCCTTTTTTATTCTTTAATGCGATAGCTGAAGTATTCTTATGAAAACCATTTGTTTGAGAATTCATATTAACTTTACATTGCATGGTATTTATACATATATAAATAAACATACTTTTCATACAACTGTTCAAATTCATCTCCCCAACATTCATGAAGTCCTGGGCATTGATGGGGACACATTAAAGACCACATTCCATCATTTTCTACTCGAGACATAAACAGGTCTGGTATCCACAAAGCATAAAACAAGTCACGAGCTCGATGTTCCTCCTTACCAGTATTTTTTTTCAGATCCAGAAATTCAAAAATATCTGCATGCCATGGTTCCAAATAGACAGCAAAAGCACCAGGTCTCTACAGGTTATGAAGGTCACAAACAAATTAAGATATATTTATCATTAAAAACATAAATAGCAAAAATATGTAATTAATCAACTATACTAACTGTTAAATCGTATCTTTTGATTTTAAAAATTTAAGGAATGTTTCAGCTTTTCATATTAAGTATTATACTTCACTTTATTTTCTTCCCCTGTCCCCAAGCAATTTATTTTTTGCCTGAAGGATAAGCTCTAACAGAACTCAATCCACACCACCATTAACATTGAAAAATAAATGATTACTTGAAGTCTCTTTAAATCTTTAATTTACCAGACAAATCACAGAATTTTCTAACCTTGTTTCCACCCTGGTCCACATAACGAGCAGTGTTATTGTACACTCTCAACATTGGAACCAGTCCATTAGAAGTACCATTTGTCTGTAGAATGATAAGAAAAATAAATTGGATAAATTCATAAAATTATGAAAACTACACAATAAACTGGCAAGTGTTACTTCCAACAGCACCAATGTTCTCAGAAAATCATGGGCACAAATCTTGAATACAAACAACTCAAGGTGACTGCACTTAAATATTTTCCAAATTTTCCTTAAAAAAATAAATAAAATTATTTTTTGATTGTCAGAATTGAAGCTGTTTCTATAAATAAAAATTAAATTAAACAGTTTAAGTGCAAATGGTTGAAGCTCTGAAAATTTCCTTATACAAGTCAAGAAAGCTGTAATACTACACTAGTCTGCTTATTGTTGTTTTAACCACTCTAGTCCAAGGAACGTTAAAACAACTTTAAATATGGAACATATTCACTAGGTTAGAACATTTTTTGGAAATTTTACTAAGACAATACATATTATCACATAAAAAAAAATCCTGATAAAACACCAGTGTTTTCAAAATACTAGGAATTGGCAACATAAGTTTGGTCAACAGTGTTTGCTAATTTAACCCTAGTTGTTACCTTTTGTAGTAGGGTTCAGTCATGAAGGATAACTACTTTTTCATGGGATAGCTGGATTGTATCTTATATTACTTTTTATCTGTGAGATTATTTTACAGGTATCACATGGAGCAGAGATGCCTCTGAATACCCATGTTTGGTCAGCTACAGTACATATGAAAAGGGACAGCAGTTTTGTTGTTTTCAGTCTTAAATAAACCAAGACTGAATTGGAAGTCTATATATATATTTTCTGGTAGTTTAATTGCTAGTTGTTTGTTTCCATTTTAATTAGTCAGAAAATAGTTCAGCTTATTTTAACATACATCATACAAGTCAAAGGGTTCTTTGTTGTTGATCAAGAATTTTTTTTTGCTATAACTTTGTGATAATTCTCATTGGCTTAAATGCAGCCATTTAGCACTACTTCTATTGAATCAATGATTCTGTTGATGGCAAGGTCAAGAGAATTGTGGTAGGGATCAGTAAGGGAACTCTCATGAAGCACTTAACATGCAAATGTTCACATTGTGGAATATGCTACAACTGCAGCCACTGTGATTGTTCATGTGACAGATTTATCCCCGGCAGTAAAAATATTTCAAAAGCATGGTGGGAAGCAGCCAATGAATCCTCTGGATACAGAAGTAAATCAAATTCCAACTACTTTGTGGAGGAATTTACTCTTTGTTGGGCATTACGTCCATCATACAGTAAAACTTATGGCCAAAAGTATATAGATCGATTCAAGGACAATGTTGTTGAAATGTTCAAGAAAGGTCTCGAGTACAAATGAAATAAACTGGGCCTCGGAAGAATGCTTGAAGAACTGCAATCTACATATCATGATCGATTATACCATCATCTGACGGAGAGATTCATCAGTGTATCACAGCCCTTACGAAAAGCAAAAAACTTGATACCCTTATTACTTCTTCTAGGAGAATACAGCAACCTTATAGACACACACATTGATGACCATTATGTCTGAATCAAACAACACCATTACACCTAAAAATGCAGTCTGTGAGCTCAAGGTACAGCATAAAGATGATCAACTGAAGTCATTAGTTTCTCAAATGTGGTCACATCACAAAAAAGAGTTAAACAGCTACCATCCCATAGTAATTGTATTACCATGCCTATGTGCTTTATTATGCACATCTGCTTGGAAATAAAGTGCCATAAATTTTAAAATATTTATTCAATTTTTGTAAAACAAAGCTGTGAGTTTCTTGGTTCAAGATACATGGTTTTTAACAGTTTCTGCAGTAGAAAATTTTTGGTTACTAACAACCCCATAGTAAAAACCTGCATTGGCTCAAACAATGCAGGTTAATATTTTATTTAAATAATTTATTTCATTTTTCTTCAGTTAAAATACAGTTCATTCTATTTTCAATTTATCGCACTAGTACGATCAATCTTTGTTCCAGTTCACCATCTGTAAATAGTTTTGTTCAATCTTCACACACTTCCTTCACTCCAGCTGTTCGTATGCTTGATTAATCCTGAACCTTTGAATATCACACTAGCAGTAGTTTTAATTCAAATCAGACTTAAAGATTTGCAGCAGTTTTGAAGTCATATTCTAAACCAATTAAAGAAACACTAGTTATAAATAATAAAATTTATTGTTAACTCTATGCATATGGAAGGGTCAAGTTGCACACCATAACCCTTTTTTACAGGGTTACATTCAAAATTTAATTAAACAACTTATTTATCAGTCTGTTAATAAGCTTGGCATTAAAACATAGGTTATAACTGAAAGTTTTATATTACCTAAGTTGGATTTCGTACTTTCACAAGGAAATATTTAAATAAATTCTCAATCTTCACTTCTCTGTATCACATTATGCATCTGTGCTTTGAAATAATCATTTTAGATTTCTGTCTAGCCTTATACAATTCACCAAGTGTCCAACTAAATTATAAACACATATTATAGATATTGACAAGTCATAATATAATCTTAGAATCACCAATCTTCTTGCTTTACTGAGATATAAACATAATTGTCAAACCCTTATAAGCTGTCACTTTCATATCATCCTGTCTTTCAAAAAATTTCAACAATTCTTTGCTAATGATTACTTAACAGAAAGAGCAACCTTTCTTTACAAGATTTGGTTATTCTATTTTGATACTCATAGTTAGATATCTGGCTTCAGTTTTACTGTTTGCAATTGAACAAATATAGCTTAGTTAAAAAGCCTGTTAAATTATAGTAGTTTTAAGATATTCTATTTTAATGCATGAATTTTGTAAAATTCATATTTGAAATAAACATTAATAATTCTGTGGACAACCAATACTGTAGGTTTACAGAGTTTACCTATTAATCACAAAAGGCTGAAGTCCAAACATAAGTACAAAGTTTGCTTTTTATGTATATTTATTATTTGTTGTTATAAAATAACTAAAATGCAAAAATTTGCAACTTATTGGTCAGATAAAACAAAATTAAATGAAAAATTCCTTTATGACACTCAGTATTTTAGAACTTGCACATTGGGTGGTTTAGCTGTAACTTATTTATTTACATAAAGATTTTCACTGTGATAAGCAGTTTTCACGTACTTTAGGTCAGTAAAGCAACAAAACTAAAAGAAAGCAGATGTGAAAAGCTAGTAGTTTAAACTGGTAAGAATAAGTTAACCAAGTGTAATTATCTGTTACAATATGTTATCATTCTAGAAAAAAAAAGTACCGTATTTTTCGGAATATAAGACACACCAGTGTATAAGACAAAGTTTTGGTGAAAAAAAAAGCTACAGTCGCATTTGAAAGATTTTTTATTGAACAAAAATTCAATTTGATA